CCCCAAAACCCCAAAACCCCAAAACCCCAAAACCCCATATAGTTAATAAAATATTGAAAATATATAATATAAACATGAACATATTCAATTCATTTAGTGAAAGTTCACCTTTCCCTGAGTCTTCACAGCCTAAAATGAAAGGTCCAGACCTTACTATGATTCCCGGAGGATCTGCTTTTGATGAAAATAAAATAGATTTTAATCTTAATGGAGGACCAAAGTATACAGATGTTTTAGTTGCATCTGCAATGTTTAACGATGGAGATAGCAAAGGATTTGCTTGTCCCCTAGTCTGTAAATGGTTTTATACTATTAAAAATAATCAGCTTAAAGAGATAGAGGGTGTCTGAGGAAGTTTCTATCAGCCAAGCCTTGACGACATTGGAGCGAAGATTTGCGTTCATGCACACCCAACAAATGGAATCGATGAATATCAAGGAATGCCAATGTTTGCAGAGGTAGGACCCTTAACAATGGATGATGGAATTTTCAAGAAGGCTCAAGAATATATTGAAATGAATGAGAACGATAGAAATTTCAGCATAAGAATCAAGCAAAGTAATATTGGAGCTCTGAAAGATAAATCTTTACCTTACAATTGATCGTTTATAACAACAGACATGATGGTAGTATTTAACTCAACTGTTGAAAAGCAGCAATTCTTCATGGTTCCTTTCTCTAAAAAGTTTCCAAAGCTAAGAATATTAAGAAATGCTAATAATTTGATTGAGATGAAAGTAAATGAAGAGGAGTACTTGATTTTAGAAATTGAGCCAAATTTAAGAGACATTCTTACTTTAGTAATAAGAACTCTTCTTGCAAGGTGTCCAGTGGCTAGCTTTCCCCATGATTCTCAGATGGAATGTGAAGTAATTGCAAGTGAAACTGAGGAGGTTTCAAAGAAGGAAGAAGATTTAAAATCTACAAAACCACATATTAAACCAGAATGAAAAACCAACCTTGAGATTTCTACTGATCAATCAGAAAATAATCAAAAAGAAATTATTACTGAAGTCGTTGAGGAAGTGATTAACGAAGCCATCAACACAAGTAAAGACTTCTCACAAAAAGAGAATAGCAATCCATTAAAAGAAGATCAGAAAGAGCTACAAGATAATACTCAGAAAGAAATTAAGCCAATATTAAAAAGACAAAAGTTAACAACAGGAAAGAAGAAACCTAAAAAGAAAGATGAAAACAAAAACATTGAAGCAACAGTGAATAACAATCCGTTTAAAGAATTCGTACAAAATAGCAATCAGGAACACAATTTATCTATGAATACCAATTCAAAAGAACAATTACCTGAAGAACAAAATGTTGCACTAAGTTCAAATGAAAAGAAAACAGGAAATGCTTTAAAAATTGAAACAACAGAATTCGATTCAACTTCCAAAATTTTCCAAAAGGAAACCCAAACTGAGACTGAAGAAGATGATCATGAATCAGACTATTTAGGTGGGATGATGAAAATATCCCAGTTATCTCAAGAGCTTACTCAAAAGAATGATTATTTAGAAAAATCAGAAAATATTATACTTCAGCTTAAATAAAGAAGTGAAGACCCAAAAAGAGGAACTATCCAACCACAACTCAATTGTTAGTACATTGAAAGAGGAAATAATTACATTAAAGGCTGACAGAGATGACTTAAATTCTCAAATGGCTGAATATAAAAACAACAATTCCTTCTTAGAATTAGAAAACAAGATGCTATCTGAGCAAAAGGCAAAAATAGAATCTATTTGTCCTGATTTTGATTTAAATAATATTTCAATAGTAAAGAAAGAAGAATATCTTATTCTCAAAAACATATGCAAAGATTATATCCAACTTTCTAAAGTTCAAAAATCTCATGAATTAAAGCATATGATGAGAAACGATCCCTCTATTATTGGGAAGAGGAATAAGAAAGCTCAAGAATCTAAACTTGAAGAAAGAAAGCAACAAGAAGATAAATGCAAGCTATTAGAAGAAAAATATGAGGAAGTAGTAATGGAAAGAAATCAACTAAGAAATTTTAAAATTAGTCAATGCAAAGATTTTGAAAAAATGAGGAAGAAAATTGCTTATCTCCAAAAACTAAATGAAGTAAGGCTTACATTTTATAAAATAATATAGAAGCAACGGATGTTGAACAAATCTACAAATAAAAAGAGCTCAGATATTATCAGCAGAAACAATTCAGATAGCGACTTAGATTTCGACCCTACCTCTACTTTGCCAAACATAGCTCTTTCTGAAGAGGGAGACCCTAATTATGATCTACGTATTGGTGAAAGCATGATGACTTCTCCTTCTGATGATCAAATTCAAATAAATCACTCTCTGCGTGCTGAGTTAGAAGACTATAGATTAAAGCTAGAACAGTCCGATCAAATCCTTGAGGAATATAAGCAGGTTCTTCTTGACGAAGTCAGGAAGAAGAATGACTTAAAGAAAGAACTCAAGCATCTGAAACTCCTGCAAGAGTATGGCTACGATGAAGAAGAACTAAGTCTTGGTCAACTTAGAATGAAGATGGATGATATGAAGATCCTCTTGCAAGAGAAGAACTTGCAATTAGCCGCTCAAAAAGATGTAAATAAACAACTTATTGAAAAACTAAATGAGAAAGCATCCCAATAATATTTTAGCTCTTTCAATCCTACTTCAGTCCTGCGGGGTTTTGGGGTTTTGGGGTTTTGGGGTTTTGGGG